AAGATAATTTTATGGATGAAATGGATGGAACACAAAAATATTATTACAATAATCATGATTTTAATGATTCAAGTAACACAAGTGTTTATTTAAATGATGCTAAGGATAATGATAATTCAAACAATTTAAGTAATACAAGTGTTTATATAAATGATGCAAAGGATTATGATAATTCAAATGATTCAAGTGATACAAATTATGATGATATTTAAATGTTTCAAGTAACGCAAGTGATGCTGTGTTTGATGAATTATAATATCTTTATATGCAACAAGAATTAGTTCAAGAATATGATAATTACGATACACTTTTAGATGATTTATATGAATCAGATTTATCTGAAAATATAAATAATAGTAAGTTTTTAATTTATATCTTTAATTATAAAATTAATTCAATTATTAATGGGATACTAAACTGGTTTAAGTGAATCTGAGTTGAATATAACAGATGACTTGGCATATGCATTGCGGCTCTTTAAAATTAAAATTCAATGCAATTTAACAGACAATACATTCAACCAAATAATAAAGGCCACAAGTAGTAATCCAATTAGTTTTTACCATATAAAGACTATGTTAAAAAAATTAGTAAATATTGAATTAAAATAGTTTGACATGTGTATTCATTCATGCTGTGCGTATACTGGATTATTTAAGAACAAAATTTATTGACCATACTGTAATGAACCTAGATATCAAAAAAATGATCATGGGCAGCAGAAAAATCATGTTATCAGTTTGCATATTTTTTTCTAAAAGAGTATTTAAAGATACAGTATGAGAATTCAAATCGTGCAGATGAATTATGATATTGATATACATATATATTATGTAGTAGATTTGGCGAAGATGATAAAATAGGAAATGTGTTTGATGAAAATTGTTATTTGGATCTTCTAAAAATAGGATATTTTCAAGATGAACATGATATTGCTTTAATTGGATCTATTGATAGTTATCAGATTTTTAGACAAAAACTGATAATTGTTGGGTTGTATTATTTATAAATACTAATCTTCTACCAGAAAAATGAGTACTTAAGGAAAATTTATTAATTACATCAATAATTCCTAGACTTAAAGAACCAAAGGATTTTAATTCATTTATAAAGCCAATTGTTGAAGAACTTAAAGAACTAGCCAGTTAAGTTTTTTTTAGTTATTATATTGATTTATAAATTTATTTCTAACAAATTTTTATTTTACAAATAGATAGTATTAATTGTATAGATAGAATGACTAAAAATCATTTTATATTAAAGGCGCATATTTTATCTTAGTCTGAAGATATATCAGGTTTAACAAAAATGATGTGCTTAAGTGGGCACAATTTATACAAAAGATGCTGTTATTGTAATATTAAAGGACTTTACGTGAATCATATATATTATCCTACTACTTCTCCTGCAGAATTTGATTAATAAATTATGATCCAAATAATTTACCTTTGAGGTCACATAAAGAATATAAAGAAATGATAAAAGATTTAGAACA